ACATGCCTGTAGTTCCAGCTACTTGGAAAGCTAAGGCAGAAGGATCACCTGAGCCCAGCAGGTCAAGGCTGCGGTGGCCAGGAGCATGCCACTGTACTCCAGTCTGGGTGACAGAGTGAGACTCCAACTAAAAAAAAAAAAGTTCTCCGTGGCCAGGCATGGTAGCTTATGCCTATAATCCTAGCACTTTGGGATGTCAAGGTGGGAGGATTGCTTGAGTCCAGGAGCTGGAGACCAGTCTGGGCAACATAGTGAGCTTATCTCTACCAAAAAAAAAAAAAAAAAAAGCTGGGTGTGGTGGTGTCTGCCTGTAATCCCAGCTACTCAAGAGGCTGAGGTGGGAGGATTGCTTGAGCTCAGGAGTTTGAGGTTGTGATAAGACTGGGCAGCAGAGTAAGACCCAGACTCAAAGAGAGAGGAAGAGAGAGAAGAAAAGCACAGGTGACCCTTGTGCCATTAATTTAGCTCCTATCTGCAGGTTGGTGTTTGGAACTCAGATAAGGAAACAAATCCAGGACAGAGTGGCTTCCTTCATTCCCTCTAATAGGTTCCCAACACAATGAAAATAAAGTCCAAACTTCTAGCCGTGGCCTACCTACAGCCCTTCTGGGTCTGGATCCTGCCTTTCTCTTCACCCTCATCCCCTTCAGCCACATTGGCCATTGGGTTTCTGTTCCTGAACAAGTTAAATCGTTTCTACCTCAGGGCCTTTGTACTTGCTGTACTTCTCATTGGTAAGCTTCAGCTCCTTTGAGGCTCCTCCCCTCACCATTCTAGCTAAGATTCCCCCAGCCCACTTCTTTATGACTTTCTGTCATATGTACCCTGTTCTCTTTTCTTCCTGGCATTCAGCACTATCGAACATCATTTACATTTTTGTTACCTCTTTTCCCCCCCAGTCCCCCCCCCACTAAAATGGAAGCGCTGTGAGGGCAGGGAGCATGTCTGTTTCTTCTCTGTTTCATTCTGTGTTCTATCCTGGAACAGTGCCCAACACCCAGAAGATACTTCATAAACACTCACTTGAGAGTTAATGCACAGGCCGAATGGGAGCCCAAACGCTAGCTGGACATGCATGTCCCTACTGCATGCCAGGCGCTGGCCAGGATCACACTGCCAGCCAGTGGAGGAGGGGTGGACAGAGAGTGGCTGAAGACCGGACGGGGGTTTTTTTAGTCCCAGATCAGAATGTGGGGGCTGGGGCACAACTTCTCCAGGCTTTTGGTTCCCCAGGCCGCTTCCTCATCTCCGGTCTGTTCATGGAGTTGCTGAACTCTAGCCAGTACCTTTCTCAGGGGGGTAGGGCTGCATGGGGGCAGGGCCAGAGGACTGACAGGCAAAGCAGCACACTGGGGTCTCCTTGCTTGGACCTCTGGGTGCCCCCAGGGTCTGTCAGTGGACAGCAGACCTAGAACCTGTCAGAGCAGGCTCCTGAGAGACATCTAGGTGTCTCCAGTGTAGCCTGAGCCAGAACTTTCCGGGAAGCCCATGCTGTTAGGGTGGGGAGGGGAGCATGGATGGGGATGGAGGGCAGGGGGAAGGCCAACTTCCGTCCCAACAGCAGGAGAGAGATGCTCATTTGCATGCCAATTTACATCTCATCAGCATACACAAGAAAATTTACATCTCATCAGCATCTGTCCCCAAGAGGCTTGAAGAGGCAAAGAAATCAACCCAGGATATTAAGGACATTCAAACCAGAAAGGATTGCAGATCTTGAGTTCAAGACCTTTCTTATTAAATGAGGAAACAGGCCTAGGCAAGCAGCGACTCCTTCTCCACCCAGATTCCTTAGCCCGTTTTTATTCTCCCATACAGTTCCCTCTCTGGAATGACATGCGGAATTGTCAACCCAAAGAGGGAAAGTAACTGTTTGGGCCTAGCTCCCTAGCTCTGGCGCCTTGAGCCTGGATGCCTACTGACCCTGGACTTTGGTCTTGGCCCAAAGCTAGGTCTGGAGGGTCTGAGACCCATCCTTGTGGCTGGCTGCTTGTGTAGCATGCAAATCAGCCTGTCTGTGGGCTTAGTCACCCTTGACTGAGAACCTTGCAGTTGTCTGCTCTCCCTAATTCCCCCAAAGGTTTCCTGACACTTGGTTAGGGTGGGGAGGGGAGCATGAGTGGGGATGGAGGGCAGGAGAACTGGGCCTCATGTAAGAACAGTTCAGGGAAGCCATCCAGTACCTTCCCAGGCATTTGATTCCCAGGCATTTGATCCCCAGACGACGCTCCTCAGAGAGGCCAGGAAAGGTTGGTCATATTCTGCTCAAAGGAAGCCGGAGTCCTGGGATTCCCACCTGGGTCAGGGCTTCCAGTGCCCAGCATGACTTTACAAGGACAGCGAATCCTCTCTTCCTAGGGAGGACTAGGTCTTTTTATTTGTTTATTTATTTGTTTGAGTTGGAGTCTCGCTCTATCACCCAGGCTGGAGTGCAGTGGTGAGATCATAGCTCACTACAGCCTCCAACTCCTGGGCTCACGTGATCCTCCTGCTGCCTCAGCCTCCTGAGTGTCTGGGACCACAGGTGCATGGCACCATGCCTGGCTAATTTGGATTTGTTTGTTGTTTTTTTTTTTTTTTGTAGAGACAGGGTCTTGCTATGTTGCCCTGGCTGGTCTCAAACTTCTGGGCTCAGGCACTGGGCTAAAAGCTCTAACACGTTGTCACATTTATCCTGTGGAAACCACTCCTGAAGGAAGGGGCAAGACTCAGAGGGGAAAGTTGTCACAGATCCTGTGGTTGGTGGATGGCAGCGCTGGAAATTGGACTTAGGTCTTGGTGACCCCAAATTGTATGTGTGTGCAAATAACCGCTGCGGGAGTGCTCGAGATGTGCAGAAGTTATGGGAGGAATGGAGGGGTCTGCGTGTGTGCTCATCCATAGGGAGCAAACCTTTTGGTGCTGGAACAGTCAGATGTGCAAGCCGCATCCTTGTCTTCTATGGGGGCTCCCTTGACACCTACACAGACCGAAATTACACCCGGGGCAGCTTTGCAGCTAGCGGCATAGAGAGTGGGCTCAGGGGTCAGATTTCTGGGTTTGAATTCGGGCTCTGCCACCAGCTTGGAGACCTCTGGGAAAGTGACTTAACCTTTCCAAACCTCAGTTTCCTCACTGCGAAGTGAGAATGGGAGTCACCTCATAGGACTGGGGTAAGGCCACATGCCGGGCCCAGGAAAGATGCAGAGCATTTGAACTCTTATTATTATTATCTATCTAGCTTGCTCTCTCTCTCTCTCTCAAGGTCTCACTATGTTGCCCAGGCTGGGCTCAAGTGATCCTCCTGCCTTAGCCTCCTAAAGTGCTGGGATTACAGGTGTGAGCCATTGCACCAGCTGCATGGACTCTCTTTAATCTGCCATTTTTCCATGAGCACCTGTTCTTTGGTAGTTTGTGTTTTTTTGTTTTTGTTTTTTTGAGTTGGTGTCTCACTTTGTTACCTAGGCTGGAGTGCAGTGGCACGTTCACAGCCACCGCAGCCTCAACCTGCTGGGCTCAGGCGATCCTACCGCCTCAGCCTTCCAAATAGCTGGAACCACAGGCATGTGCCACCATGCCTGGATAAATTTTTTGATTTATTGTAGAGACAAGGTTTTGCCATGTTACCCAGGCTGGTCTCGAACCCATGGGTTCAGGCAATCCTCTCACCTCGACCTCCCAAAGCGCTGGGATTACAGGCGTGAGCCACCACACCCGGCCCAACATTCTTACTATGCTGGGAAGTCCCTGTGCCTCTTCTCACAGTTTGGTTAGTACAGGTTAGAAAAATAAAGTCATGAGCTGGGCTCGGTGGCTCAGCCTGTAATCCCGCGCCTTGGGAGGCTGAGGTGAGTGAATTGCCTGAGCCCGTTGGTTCGATACCTGCCTGGGCAACTTGGTGAGACCTCATCTCTACAATAAATCAAAAAATTAGCCGGATGTGGTAGCGCGCGCCTGTAGTTCCAGCTACTTGGAAGGCTGACGTGGAAGGATTGCCGGAGCCCAGCAGGTCGAGGCTGCGGTGGCTGGGAGCAGCCACTGCACTCCAATCTGGGCGACAGAGTGAGACTCCAACTCAAAAAAAAGAAAGAAAGTTGTGCCCAAGGAGTAACAGGGTTAGCCTGCAGCTCTTAAGGAAGCTGGGGAAACTGAGGACAGAGAGTACAAATAAACTGTCTGAAAGTCATGCAGCCTGTCAGGGAGGCAGAAGACCCAGAGGAGAGAGGTGGGCATCAGAAGTCAGGGAGGCTTGGGCTGCTGCTGCTTGGCCGCTTGGAGCTGTGTGACCTCAGAGAAGTCATCTCACCTCTCTGAGCTGCTGTTTCCATAACCGTCAAGTAGGAATTATAACACTTGTCTCACATGCTAGTTGTAAAGGTTAATAAAATATCAGAAGTGTTTGATCATTGTTAAATTGCCTCACCTTTCCTCCCTTGGCCCTGAAATTGACACTCTCAGTCCTCGGCCCCCCACACAATTTAAAAAACTGTGTTACATCCAGGACAGTGGCTCATGCTGTAATCCCAGCACTTTGGGAGGCCGAGGTGGGCGAATCATTTGAGTGGAGGAGTTTGAGACCAGCCTGGGCAGCGTAGTGAGACCTTGTCTCTACAAAAATTTAAAAAATTTAGCCAGGCGTGGTGGTGAGCACCTGTATTCTCAGTTACTTGGGAAGCTGAGGCGGAAGGGTCACCTGAGCCCCCAGGAGGTCGAGGTTATGGTAAACCGTGATTGTGCCACTGTACTCCTGGGTGACACTGGGTGACAGAGTGAGACCCTGACTCGAAAAATTAATAATTAAAACCCAAAACCTAAACCTGTGCTACAATGACACCTCCTCAACTTTTGCCGGTAGCTTGCTTCCTGCTGTCATGGGGGCCATCCCCCTGCCTCTGCGTGAGACGCCCTCTCTTTAACCCAGCCTCTGACTTCTCCCAGCTCTCCCACAAACATCAGGGCAAGAACTCCTTTCCCATGTCCATCTCGAGTTTACCACTCTGTTTGGGAAGTTCTTCTGAAGTCTCACCCAGAGCCAGCATGTGTGTGTGCAGGAGGGGAGAAAGGGCTTTGGGTCTCTGGAGCTGCGGGGCTCTGCGGGGCTGTCTCTGGAGCTGGGGTGAGGCCTAAGAATAGGGTGGACTGGCACTGCCTGTCCCAAAGGCTCTGACAGAGAGAAGGGGCACAGTGGGGCTAGGGTTCAGTTTGGGGGACCAGGAGGAAGCTGGAGCCTGGAGTGGGAGGACTTCTCGGCCAAGGCCCAGGACAAGCACCGGTCGGGATGGCTCCCATGGTCCCGTGGGGGATCCCCCAGGGACTGGGAGTCCTGGCCCACGCCCCTCCACCTACCTGCATATAGTTGTCCTCGCAGTAGTCGGCGACCCGCAGTAGGGCGCCGTGGTTCTCCCGCAGAGCTTCACGGCCCGTGGGGATCTCAAACTCCTGCAGTTGCTGCAGCTCTGCCATCACCCCAGGCTTGGTCTGGCTCCCCAGGGAGCCCGCTGGTTTTGAGCCTCACCCTGCCCTTGATTGGTCGCTCTGCCTTCCCTCCCTCTCACTGCTTTTGGTTTCCTCTGCCTGAGAGCCCCGAACCTGCTTACAGAGGGCCGGCATGCTCTTGCCGGGACAAGAGGAAGTCCTCCCTACTCCCTGAGCCCACGCCTCTCTGTCCCCTGTCCAGAGGAAGGGGGAAGCCAGGGGCTCACTGGGGGGCCCAGCCCCCAGTCCCACCCAGCAGAGGAAGCCAAGGTCGGGGCGCTGTGATGGCTTCTGGTCCTGAGGAGGAAACTGGTTGGTGGGGGCTGGGGCAGGACTCAGGGGAGGAAGGGGACTGGCCGGCTCTGGGGGTGGAAGTGGATTTTCCACTGATGGAAGAGGGGAGGAAAGGGCAGAGGGTGGGGGCTTCCTTGGGAAGCGCGCGGATGAGTCACTGAGGGACTGGGGAGTGGAGGGTGGGTAGGATATGGAGACCCGTCCTGCCAGGGGGTGGTGGCGGGCGGCCCGGCAACAATAGGAAACAGCCGATGCAGCAGCAAGAGGAATCGGGGTTGGACACCAGGAAGACACAGCCAGAGGCTTCTAGAGAGGTGTTAGCTAGCCAGCGGAGGGTCATGGCCATGGAGGTCGGCTCTGCATGCTCTATGCTGATGGAGGAGGCCAAGATGCCGTGGATCAAGTGTAATGTGAGGAACTCAGATTAGACAACAGGAAGGACTTGGCTCTGAGAAGCCCCACGTTCAAATTCCAGATTAACGTGTCCGTCTTAGGAAGCAGCGGTGGACAGAGCACTGAGCCTGGCTCAGGAGATATGGGCTCTGGTTCATGCCCCAGCAGGGGAACTGGACTGTTTGACCCCCAAGATCCTGTCTTGACCTCAAATTCTTGGGGCTCACAGCTGTGAGTGGGACTTGGGTACTGGAGCAGGGACGTTGGGGTGGCCTGTGGGCCTCCTCCCTGCCCTCCCACCTCTTGTCTGTCTTCCTAGAGACAGGAGCATTAAAGGACCCCCTCCCAGGTCATGTTGGTCCCTCAGCTTCTGCCCCTCGAGAGGGTCCCTTGTCATTGGACAGGTGTCCCCCAGAGCAGCCCTCGAGTGACGCTGGGAGGGGAGCAGGAGAAAGACCCGGATGCGGGTCCCATGCTCAAGACCGCAGATAGGGAGACACCGCTCAGGGCTCAGAGTGAGGCGTGGTAGCCAGGCATGTGGACACAGGCGTTGGAGGTGGCCACGCCACCACAAGTACTGCCACGGTGGCGTGAGCAAGTTTTTCATTATTATTGAATGAGCGAACAAAGGGTGACCCGGGAGAACCTTGTAAGGCGAACACAAAGGCTTCTCGGTTAGGGAGGTTAGTAGCTGGTCTAGGACTCGCCTAAGGGGAAGAACAGCCTTAGAGCAGGTTCAGAGGTGGGGGCGGGGAGGTGGGGGGGGAGGGGCAGCGGGAGGGATTGGGCGTGGGGAGTGGGGAGGTAGGACCCCAGGGGGCCCTAAGCCAGGAAGTCACCAAAGCCATGGGCCAGGCCGATGCAAGGGGTGGGTGGTAAGAAGGTGGGCTGGAGACAGACGAACAGAAGGCAGCCTCTGTTTCCTAGTTTATTTTTGTGGGAAGAATGTCAGTGTCTGTGCTCTGGTGGCAGTGAGGGCTTGGAGGCTCAGGCCGGCTGACGGGCTTAGAACCTTGAGCCTCTGATCAGCTTAGGCGGCAGAGAATTTGCTTTCCAGACCATCTGCTTTATCTGAAGATTTGCAGCTGATGAAGAACTAGGAGGGTCAAACACCATCTTGTCTGAGTCCAGGACAAGCGACTTGGGGTGCGTGCTCTTCTGTGGCAGGTGAGAGGGTTGGGGTCGCACTGGGCTGGGGTCTGGTCTTAGTATTCCTGAGGTTAGGCAGCAGGCAGGCCTTCCTGATAACTCTGCAGTGATAATAATAACAGTAGCATTATCAGTAGTACTAATAATAAATGTATGAAGTATTCACTGTGTGCCAGGCAGTGCATTCAAGTATTTTATATGCATTATTTTCTTAGCACAATGAATGGATAAGGTGGGTACTATTTTTAGACCCATTCTGCAGATGGGGAAACTAAGGAGGTTGAGTAGCTTGTGAGGAAGCAGCAGAGCTAGGGTCAGAGCTGGAGTCTGGTGGCTCCAGAGACTCTTCTCTTGACCACTAAGATACAGGCTCCCCTGCCAGGATCTGGAGACCAAAGGAAAAAAACCTCCCTGAGTCACTGTGTGGAGTAGTGATTTTGCTTCCCAAATCTTCCTCACTGAAAGAAACCCCTTTTTTCTTTTCTTTTCTTTTTTTTGAAGCTAGAGTCTCACTCTGTCGCCCAGGTTGGAGTGCAGTGGCACGCTCCCGGCCACCACAGCCTCGACTTGCTGGGCTCAGGTGATCCTTCCACCTCAGCCTTC